CACACGTTTTACACTTCACAAGAGAGGTCTGTAGTGCAGGGCTTCTGTTACAAATTTGACTCAAAGCCCAAGCTGACATAACCCTAATGACGTCATCAAGGTTATCTTCCAAGACTTTAGAAACCCCCTCCAGAGCCTCAGAGGACATAATACCACTGTTTTCACACGCTGAGTAGTACTTCCCATGATAAGTAAACTGATCTGCATGTGTGAAATTGGTGGGTTGCCTCTTTAATTACTGTCTGTCTCTAGATGCCAACAATGTACAGAACTTTGAGCATGTCATCAATCTGCTAACATTTGTAATGTTCATCCACTCCCAGATGAACTGAAACAGAAACTGGCGCTGAACACCCGCTTATTCAGTAATTAATTTCTTTTGCATGGGATCTGGCATTCAAGCTGAAACCATACCAACGGATGTCGACACAACATAAATGTATGTGTCTGTCTTGATATGCAGTCCAGATAGGGTGCATATGAACAAGACGAAAATGCTGTCGAACAGCTGCAGCGCTTCATGCATACCTGAATGTGATTGGCCTTATTGGAGGATATGCAGCCAATGAATTCATATTCTTCTCTCCACAATCCCACACTCCAGAGGTCAACAGCGATCAAATTATCCCTCTGTGCTGTTGTGTTTGACTGCTTTACATGAGTCACCAAGGCAACCAGTAAATGAAATCACTGAAGGATGGTTACTTTAATTCACAGGAGCTGTCTGCCAGTCTGGCATCCAGCCTGGTTTTTAAAGCTATGTTCCTGCACAGTGGGCATCCTGATGAAACTGCTGATTAGATTTCTATTTAAAAAGTCCAACTTGCACAAGGCACTGTGACAAGACAGCACATGTTTCCCACTGCATTGTCAGAGCAAACCAAGTCAGTTTAAATAGATTTTATTTCATTGTCAACAGTGTGGGAAAACAAAAAGGGCAGGGGCTCCCTGTATCGAGCTGCAGACATACGTAGCTGCCTCTCTGCTGTGTTGCATCATAAAACAGCATATTAACATTGTTAACAGACCAGTGGCACAACAATGAAACCCACTGTCAGTCACACGGATTGTTCATTAACCCACTCTCTATGCTCTCAGTCAGCATTCTGGTGCCTGCGTGTGTCCTGCAAGCAGCACCTGAGCTGTGAGATTAGCCATGCTGATCATGTTGAGCTATTATCTAGGTTAAGGTATTACAACATGACAGGTGAGTGACGCCATAGGGAGGAAAACAAAGGAAGGCAAGGGCAAAAAAAAAAAAAATGCCAGTAACACCAAACAGAATGATTACTGTGAATTCTGAACATGCTGACTCAGACCATCTCCTCTTCTCTGTTCCGCTGAGCTGTTTTCCTCCTAAATATTTAGCAATAAACTAACTCACGAATACTGTAAATGATAAGAACGCACTTCTGAGGAGGTTTACAGTTCATCTGAATCTATTTCATCCTTCACAAAAAATAGATTGGCTGTTCTGACTATCAGAAATTGCACCTGAATTAAACCTGAGGTAAATCCAAAGGGACACACAACAAACAATACTGCACAGTGCAGGCGTTTGAGGCTCTGGTGTATGTCACAGATTTACCCGCAAAACCTTAATGATGATAATGCAGTAGCCAGCAGTGGAAGAGGTATTTTAATCCTGATAAAAGAAGCCTCAATATAAAGAAAATGCTCCACTTCAAGTGAAAGCCATGCAATCGAAATGGTATGTCAGTAAAAAAAATTTTTTTTAAAAAAGCAAAATGTACTTAAAGTGTGGTAAATATTAAAGTACTCACACTGGATCCTGGTTATATTACTATACATATTACATATTATATCTAGCCTATTTAAATTAGTATTAATTCATGCCTAAAAGTTTTTTTTATATATATATACATAGATTTGATTTGAATTTTTGTTTAAATTACCATGGTTACATAGTAAGGAGCAACATATAGGCTACAAAACAATAAATATAAAACACTGACACCCTGCAGGAGTGAAGTGCAACACATATTACTTAAACAGAAGAAGAACATTATTCAACCTAGTATAGCTTTTGGCTGTTTCCACTGTAATAACACAATTACTTAAAATATAGGCGGACATTTAGCAAGTGTCTCTCTCCATTATTTATTATGCTTGGAAACCCTTTAAAACATATCCAAGCCCTTATGTGTCGCAGTGACCTTGGGGATCCTACTGTGCTGGTTCCAACTATTTTAAATGCAATACACTGCATATCATATCCGTTTATATTTTCATGATATCATGCTGTTAACCTGTGATTGTCATTGTACACATTTTGCATTTGAACCTTATTTTTAGTTTGTTTGTTTTTGCCCACTTTATATATTTGCGCTCTTCTCACTTTGTATTGCAACAGCTGCACAATTTTCCTCAGGATTGATAAAGTTTTATCTAATTTTATTTTATAATATCATATATCATATGTTTGTGAAACATTTTATATTTAGGCTACCTTGGATATATAGTGGAGTTAAAGTACAGCATAAAATAAAAGTACAGGCTGAGTGAAGGGGAGTTAAACAGTGGAATAACTGAAAAAAATGCACTTTCTTATGACATGGTGTATTTGACATGAGTATTCTTTTAATTTTAATTAATATGTTTTTAGATATTTTTTTTAACTACATATTCCTCGCGCTATAGCTCTGTGTCATTTAACCTAATGTCGCCAAAACCTTATTATAAAGCCTTTGTCCCCAGTAACCTACTTTCGACCAAAAGCCTTTCAATGCCCTTTCTTTACACTCTCGGATTTTGCAGACAGGTCCTTGAATGCAGCATTAGGGCCATGAACCCTCCTGCGTCACGAGCACCTGTAACACCTCGGCCACGGCCAGGTAAGCTTCTTGCTTATAGTCCGTCAGAGAACATAATTCCTGTGCGGACGGAATGCTGGATGAGGAGATGTTCTGCATGGAGCTGATTCCTTATGATGTGTGATGGAGGGACACCGACGCGTCAGTGGCGCACGACCTGAGGATCAGCCGAGCGCAGTGCGCACAGTGCCTGACGTGCCAACCTGTCACGTGACCTGATCGTCTGACTCTGCACTGCAGTGCTTAGGCACTCAGGTTTGTAATAAGTCCCTGAATCTGTCGTTTGCCATCAACAGCCGTGAAACTAATGACAATTTGGAGCCGTAAGGTTTGACTGACAGGCGTCACATACCGCTGTTTGTTGTGTATCCCAATTTTTGCGTGATATCTCATTATGTAGCCTACTTACAGATCAAAATTGGACTCATATAGGAACAGAACCTGTCACAGTGCCATACCTTGCTTTACCCAAATTGACGCCGATGGGTGCATCTCAAATTATATTACAGCATTAATTATAGGACTATGGCAGATTAGATTTCCCCAAGCAATTTAGCAGAAACTGTGTCGCTTAGCAACACCGTTACCGTTCAAAAGCTGTGTCGCTGGCACATGATAAACACTAATCATTAATTAATATCATTCAGATAAAGATGTGTTGAACATCTGCGTGCTTTCTGTCGCGAAACCAAAAGCTCGGGGCGACTTCAGAGAAGCCACTCCACACGGGGAGTGACAGATCACTGCACGGGTCAAAAGGTAATGCAGCGAAAATGACACCCACTTACTTTGGAAAGGGTGACATATTGGAGGGCTGGAGAGTAGCTACAGTATAATTGACGTGTTCATGTTATGAGCAAGCACATAAAGTCAGTCCCTCCGCGGCGGGGCGAGTGGTCACCTCAGAAAACCCCCTGCAGATTATTTTCCCTCGACACAACTTCCCCGACTGAACACTGCTGCCTGTGAAAACTTTTTGATGGGAGCGACTCTTTCTGGCAAAGAGATGCGCGGCAAACAGCTTTAAGAGAGCTCAGCAGAACCAGTTATGGTGATACAGATTAAAATAGGAACCATAGCAGATTGGATTAGACTTAATACGCCATTTCATATCGTGTAACATGTCATATTCTGGGCGCTGTGCCCTTGTTTATGAGGTGCGTCCGAGTTACAATTAGCCCACATTTCACTGAAAATTCCTTTGAAGCAGCCGCGCTGCACTGTTGTGTAGACCTAACCAGTGGGCCACAATAATTTGACCAATTGCACGGGATCATGCTTTGTGTTTGTGCCATCCTTTTGCGCTCTGTGCCAGCGTACCCTCTCCAAATCACGCACAATGCGTCGCCGCCAGATAACACAAAGACTCAACTGTGCAGAAGCACTGCATGTCCAATCATTTTGAGTGGTCTTTATTAACAGGAACAGTGGCGGATGAAAGCCGGTGGATGGTGAGCTCGCGTGTCTTCAAACAGTATGGGCATGGTGCACGCGCGCGGCCTCTTCTGCTGTCGATACGTGTTCTAGGCTGATCACAGATGTGCGTATCGAAGAAATTCTGGCAGAGGAAACTTTAAAAAGGTGCTTTTAATGCTCTGAACTCAGCCACACTCTGTGAGCGCGCGCGTGTCCTAGGGTTTTAAAGTAGCGCGCGCCCACGCGCTCTTTACATACACGTTTAAAGCTTTCATATCTTCATTTCCCGACACTGATCAGTAACCGGACCGGGACCCGCGCGCTGAGAGCTCCGAGTCCGGAGTGCAGTGCGCGAGGGGAGGGAATCCCTCCAGTGTCTGACGCTTCCTTTACCAAGGAAACCCACACGCGCTCTCTGACGCAACTGCCCATTTTAGGAAACATGCGTCAATGGACCGAAGCAAGTCAGACAAACAGTGAACTCCACAGCAGGCATTGACGTTCGTATCAAAAAATAAATCTCTCCACACTCCTACCCATATTTTAGCTACTTGTACTGTATCCCTGCTCTGCGATTACATCTCCAGTGTCCGCTGGGCGAAGGATGGTCACAGCGGATCTTTCTTTTTCACTGCCTTATCCAGAATCGACCCCTCCCTGGATGAAGTCGCAACGCCCAGGCTGTGACGTAGGCTGTTTCGTTGGTGTTGAAAAGCCGTTGCAGTTCTTCATAGTGCCATTGAAGTGAGTCATCTCTAGGAAGTGTGGTAAAAAGGAAAAGAAAAAAAAGTTAGAACTGTTCCGTGAACAGCAAAGAGCGCAGATAGTGTGTAGTAGGCAAGGCGACGGAAAATATTCACAAGTTTAGCCAGGCAATAGGCTTGAAAGCGAATGTTAACCTGCGTGAGTCACTCTGTAACTACAGGTTGTCTCAACTGGACTTGACTGCTGAAGGTGTGCTGCTGACTTTAGGTTGAAGTTTGCGCACCTGAGAAGATCTCCAGTAGTGTAGTGTAGGTCTACCTGCGGCTCAAGAATAACACACGCACAATAAGATACAGCATCTACAAGCAGGGAGCACGCAAGAAAATATTTATTCTAACTGGCAATATCTGTACGATGTTTTAGGTTAGTATAGAGGAGCATAACTGCACTTTGTCTTTGCCAACTCTTTTCTGGATAACCCAAATTATCAACGACTCGAGTCAGAGGATTTTTTTTTTCTGTTGGTGCCTTTTTTTACTGCGAGGATTTAAGAAAAGGGGGGTTTCAGAAATCAAACCAGTGCACTGAAATCTTCCTTTTTCCTGGATCATGTACCAGGACTACTCCGGGAACTACGACACCTCGTCCCGCGGCAGCAGCACCTCTCCGGCCCAGCCAGAGTCCTTCACAAGCGGCAGCAGCACGATCGGAAGTCCGATCTCTACCTCAAGCTACCAGGTAACAAGGAAACACCGGGCTTCCGCAACATTACCCATTAATAATACCATAATATGTATCTGTCTTTAATTTGATGTCAAGTGCGCAGCATCTGAAAAATACAGATTGTGTGCCATTTAGGTTTCTCTGTTTTTTTTGTTCCGGTGCCGCGATTCCACCGGTTACTAGATTTTAAATGCCATTCTCCAGGTCGCTTGGGGAAAAAAACGGATGAACCCAATGACACAGATTGCATCTATGACTCAACAGATGCAAGACTCGATCTATTCACAAGTATTCTGGACCGTTTCCATTTGGATTCTGTCATCTAAACACCATGTACACCATGTACTTTTGATCAAACATCACATTTGCGCACTGGCTGTTGGCGCACAGTAAATGGCGAATACGTGATGATTTTGCACATTTAATTAAAAATACAAATTTTATCTTAAGTTGACCCTTATGGTAAAACAAAACTTGTAAACGTGCAGGTTGCACCGACAGATGTGAGACGGATTGTGTGCTGTTTGGGGAAATGGGACACAATGAGATGAATTTGCCTGGGATTTCCAGATGTTCATTGCTCTCATCTGTCCTCTCCGTGCGTAAAAATGTAATATTCTGGGGGTCTTTGCGCCTTGTGGCACCTCAATGGAGACTGCATTTTTACGCGCATGCATTGTAAGGACGACAATTCCTTTGGAACACATACATACCCTGAGCTATTTACACGGTGCGCTAGTCTGGCATTAAACGAGACAGAGATGAGGCTAAAGTAGAGAGTGCAACAGGCACTGATACAGACATTAACACAAGGGTTAGGAGAGGTTTAATTTCTCTTGGCCGCCAGGTAAGACATGTTGGAGAGCACCAAAGACGTGTGATGTTGCACATTGTGATTTAAGTCCAGTTAAAGATGGTATTTGTGGCAGATTATTCACTAATTGAACTATCAGAAATGACTTGATCACGGAACACACTGTAAGCTGATTTTCTTAGATGCACATGGCAGATTTCTTCCAGCGACCGGGAGCTCAGCGCACTCAAAAGCCTGTGTTTCCTTACACCGGGAAAAATATCGCTGCACACTGGGGGGCTGTTTAAAAATACACCAATCCCTGCAAAAAATCTCCTCCATTTCATCAGAGGTTAAGATTTCATACCGCCTCAGTGAGATGTACCCTAGGTGTGCCAGGGTATCGCTGTGGAGACGCCGTGCCCGTACATTCACAAATAATAGGATATAAATCCGGGAAGAGGCATGCTGTTTACTCGCAGCCAAGTCTTGCGTGTAGCGCACTTCTGTGGAAAAGCCCCGTCAGGCTCACGCAACCTTACGGTAAACGACTTTTGGCCCGTATCTATCATTGCTCCGGTTCCCTGTAATCACACATTGACTGTCTGTTTCCCATTACAGCGGGCTGGAACATGACCTCGTCGGTTTATTGAGACATATCAAAACAAGGCATTTTTTCTGTTTTTATTAGACCAAAAGAATTTTTATCACACCATCTCATATATCAGTTAACCCGATGCTTCTTTATTTCTTGCGTAATGACTCTATTGGATGTTTGTGTCCTTCACACTTCACTGCATACATTTTACCCGTTTTTTAAAATGGGAATTTTAATGCTTTTGTTTTGAAGCCAAGCTCACCAAAAATCCCGCTGCCATAACTCTGGCTGGCTAACTGTCTGGCTTGTTACAGCTGGCTGCTTCCCCCCTTACTGGAACTGACCACGTTCTCATGTGCTTAACGTATCCCATACACAATGAGTCACCAGATAAACAAAGTTCCAATAGACTGCCGGGATATCCGACGGAAAGTCGGGAATAACGGGGATATGGGGACGTGCGTAATTTACGCACACAGGCAGGCGGCCCGTCTGTTTGTGGTCTCTAAAGACATGAAGTAATACTGATCCGACACAGGTTCTCATACTAGTGGTCATTATTACAGTCAGCTTGCACATACATGCAGATTATAGCTATTTATATATATAAAAACTTACGAGAATTTGGATAAAAATAGCAATACTTATATAAAATGGATTAAAGAATAGTGCCAGAGGTTGAGGGCTTGAGGTGATAATCTTTACTTTAGACCAAAAACATAGTGTCCTGCATCACAGTACGGCTTTAGACATATCAACAACTATACCACCAAATGCATCATTTTGCTTTAAATTTTATTTTTGTTGACATCAATGTTGATTTTAACATTTAAATCATCAAACTGTCACAAATCAGATTTTGCATGTTAGAAAAAATCCCTCTGGAATGGTTATTCTTCTGACCACTACATGACCCATTAGATTATGTATCCATCTAAAGTATAAGTGCAAATAATATGTATATTTACCCTCCTGCCGGTCCAGACACGTGTAACACATCCTCAGCCCAGAGTTTTGTCTCATGCTTATTGTAGCAAAGTGAGATGTACTGGACACCTTGGGCTTTCCCACATGATTCACAGCATGTGTCACTGTTCCACTCCAGGGGTTACATACACAGTGTTTTGCCTATGTGGATTGAATCATTACTATAAGCTTGTAATGTGGAAAGTGTGTGAATTTGATAAATGGTGGGTGGTGGTGTGTGTCTTTGCGATTGTGCTGCTGGCAGAACGAGACAGGGCTGGTAGATAGAAGGATGCGTATGGGATTAAGTTGCATGCATTGACCCATAGCAGCATATAGGCTCGCTCCTCTACAAATAGATGCCACCCCTCCAAATTCTTTTCTTCAGATGTGATCATGCATCCTCTCATACCACATCTCTCTCATTCCTTCTCTCTCCAGAAGTACAGGGTCGACATGCCCGGCTCCAACAGTGCCTTCATCCCCACCATCAATGCAATCACGACCAGCCAAGACCTACAGTGGATGGTGCAGCCCACCGTCATCACCTCCATGTCAAACCCCTACTCCCGTTCCCACCCGTACGGCCATCACCTGCCCAATGGGCCGGGGCTGTTGGGGCACAACACGCTGGCTCGGCCCGGGGTCATCCGCTCCATCGGGGACGCCAGGGGCAGACGCAAGAGGGATGAGCAGGTGAGGGACCCGGGATCTCGGATTTTGTTTCAGTAGTTAGACTTTGATTTCTTTTTATCAAAAAAAGCTGGATTTTGTTTCAGAAGGTCTTTCACAAAGCTAATTGAAGTGTGATCGTCCTGAAAACAAAGCAAAACACCTTCATTTATTTTAATTATAAACTAATAAATAAACATGTTTGTTCAACGGCAAAAAAAAGCAAATTAAGTTTATTTTATATTCCGATAAATGTGATGCCGTTGTATCATTATTCTCCTCACAGCCAGCCGAGAGTGCCCAGCTCTTGTTTGTACTCTTGCTCTTCGCTTCATATTGATTGCGTGTGTCTGTCAAACAGCTTTATTTTACCTGCCGTGTTCCTTCTTTGCTCGCCCTTAGCTCACCCCGGAGGAAGAGGAGAAAAGAAGGGTGAGGCGTGAGAGGAATAAGTTAGCCGCCGCCAAATGCCGCAACCGCAGGCGAGAGCTCACCGAGATGCTGCAAGGGGTGAGTAGAAACCTGAGAACTGGAGCCCCCACATCAGATCAGATCAGATCTGTCATTGAGTTCTGCTTTAATCACGCCACAAAAATGACCACAAATCAGTGTTCAATCTTGTTTTTCTAGCTAATAAATAATCATGCCTCCTGGTAACTTGCTTAAAGCTGGTGCAAAAAATAAAATGGCAAAAAAGCAACAAAAGAAATTATTCTCACAAGCACAGGGGGGAAAAAGGAGTCACACTTGTTCAAGAAGTCTGGCAGGGGTCCAAATTTTTGATGAGCAATTGAACTCCACACCTTCATTTACAACCTTGCATTACTGGTTTGACTCTCACTGCGTCTCTGAGTGCAAGGTCTGAGTGAAGAGATGACAGGCGATGAAAAGCTTTTTGTCTCGGGCAGCTGTAGACAGAGGTAGGGCTGTCTCGCAGCCCTGCCTGGCAGACAGTAACGGCATCTAAATGGACTAATTAGCCGAATTACAGTGAGGTTGAGCTTGTCAGGCCTTAAAAAACCCCCAGGAATGGAATTTGCTGTAGGCAGCTGTCTCCATGAATGAAGGACATTTTGTAAAAGGGGCCAATTGCTTGTCTCACAATCCCACATAGAGACACACTGCGTGCACACACACATGTAACTAACACACACACACACACACACACACACACACACGTCACAGCCATTGCTTCTAGGGAAAGACAAAAAAAGCTTTGCCGTCTTCATATGGTGTTTTTTAAAAATTCCAAATAAGGAAGTGTCACTTTTCAGTGGAAAGATAAAGCAGTTGTTCTACAGTGTCGCCTCCTCTGATTGACTTATATCATTTATTCAAGTGTGTCACGGGGCACCTCCCCTGCCTCCTTGTTTACTGCTTCCTCATACCTTTGCCCATGAGTCAAAGTTCTCAGACAGCATGTCAGCTTGTCTTTATCTGCCTGGTGTCTAGAGCCGACGGACGGTATTTATGGGTCTTTGTCTTTTATCTGACACATTAATGACACACTTTTGATGCAGGTCTCATATCGCCAAGACAAACAATGCAAAGCCATTACGGGAAACTCAAATTCAAGCAGAAGGCTTCGAGATTACTCACTGTAAATCTAAATGGCTCATGACAAACACTTAATTTTAATGTGTTGATTGTGCTACTTTATGGGTAGTAAAACTGCAGCAAACAAACAGTGCCCTCTTTTGGTGCTTTGGAGGAACACTCATACACTCTGTCTACCTGACTGCTGAAGAAAATTAAGGCGTTGACATGTTACAATTTTTGGAGCCATGTTCTGAATTTCTTGGAAATTTGCCCCTGAATATTTGTTAAAAATGCTGTTGCAGTATTTCTTTTTATCAGGTTGAAACTTTCTTGCCGATGATGCAGGGGTTACAGTGCTGACCATGGCTGTTGCATGTTGCTCCCCATCTCACTGTTCCCGTATTTCCTGCCATCTTTCTACAGCTGCCGTCAAATAAAGGCAAAAATGCCCAATATATATTTAAAACACTTATATTTTAGCTTAATTGCTCAACCGTATTTCCTGTTTCTCTTCACAGGAGACTGAAAAACTGGAGGAGGAGAAAGCTGACCTGCAGAAGGAGATCGAGAGCCTGCAGAAGGAGAAAGACAAGCTGGAGTTCATGCTGGTTGCCCACAATCCCGTGTGCAAGCTCCCCATCGAAGACCGCCACCAGTCATCAGGGCACCAACAGCAGCACCAGCAGCAGCAGCAGCAACAGCAGTGTGCCCCCCTCCCCCTGACCATGCGTCCCAACATGGGCAACCGGGCTCAGATGAACCACGTGGTCGTGAAGCAAGAGCCGGAGGACGAGGAGTTGGGCAAACCCCAGCGCTCTGTCATCAAGCCCATCTGCCTGGGTGGCGGCGTCGTCAGCGGAGGGATGTACTGCACGGATGGAGACAGCCTGAACACGCCTGTGGTGGCGGCGTCCACCCCGGCCGCCACGCCCAACGCCCCGAGCCTCATATTCACCTACCCGAGCATGCTGGAGCCAGAGAGCCCGTCGCCCTCCTCTGAGTCCTGCTCCAAGGCCCACCGGCGCAGCAGCAGCAGCGGGGACCAGTCCTCAGACTCCCTCAACTCGCCCACCCTCCTGGCCCTTTGAGCGAGGGCTTCACTCGGCACAGCTGAGAAACAAACACTGTGGCTGACGGCAAGCACGAGGATCAACTGCGTGTCCCCCCACCCTCCCCACTCCAGTGTCTTTCAAAGACCCAAGAGCACATTAAAGAGTCCAGACCAAGCTGACCATGTGAGCCGTTTCCCCCTCTGCAGGGAGACCCACAAGGGCTACGCCGCGTGTTTCTTCTTGTTCTGCTTCAGTGTAAAAAATTTTTTATTCGTAAGAGTGTGTGCACCGATCCTAAAAAGTGTCACCCCTTTGCCATTTCAACTCCAGAGTGTCAACTTGTTTACCGGGAAGACAGTTAAGAAGTAAAACATGCCTAAACGTGGCGAATTGTGAGTTGATGTGACTAGAGAGCGTGTTCTTAATATATTTTTTTGAAAATGTTTAAAAAGCCATGTGGCCGGCACTTGCACTTCGCCAAGACGAATCAATAAATCACTAAGCGAGGTCAGCTTTCTACTGGAATTCCTGAGGAGAGACGGAGACAACGGGCAAAGACTTCCTCTCGTCTTTTTTTCCACTTAGATTTTTCGTAACTCGGACCTCGATTCAGGAATCGCTACTACGAGTGTGTACACATTTCTGACGCTATTTCCATCTCTTTAATTGTATTTATGGCCTGTGCTGATTAAATTTTACAAAGTGTTTTTGTTGAGACATTGTCCTCTCCTTTATCTGCCTGTAGAAAAGCAAAATGGTCGTCCACGTGGTGACCGAAGCACTCCTCAGTGTTGCAAAGGATACGAGCCAACTTTCAATCAATGACTAGTTCCTCAATACTCTATACCTTCTATTTTGCCATAGTGGCTTGACTTTACAGTAGTATTGGTGTGCTTTTCCTCAGTGATTCTGTACCTGAACTTTACAACCTGTTTATGACAAAGTGTATGTGATTTACATTGATGTCAGGGATATCTCTCATGTGTAGTAGAACCCCATCGTGAAGAACGTTGCACAAGCGCAGGCTGTTGTATGGTCTAGCCAGAGTGTCGCAGAGGCGGTAATATATGTGGAAGGACTTCATCGCTTCATTGTGTCACATCAGGAACGGTCTGTCCTTTTCGCTCAGACCTTTCAAAGATGACAAAAGTTTGAACAAACCCCTCCTCCGCTCGGATTGAGACCTTCTTTCTGTGTTTCTCACATTCTCTAAATAAAGGTCTTACCTTTTCAACACTGCCTCTCGGGGCAGGTCAGGTTTCAAAAAGCCAAAAAAAGATTTGTTTGACACATGTAATCCTGTAATTCGTCCGTCTTTGTCTAAAAAGGAGGGATTTTGCTCAAATTTGAAAACAGCCACTGTGGTCTAGACTGTCGCCAGCTGCCAATGATGTCAACCCTGTTTATACTGTGTTTGTAAATCTGTCACTTTTAGTAAAGAAATGTTTAAATCCAAGTCAGATGTGCTGATTTACGGGTGTATGAACATACGCCAACATCGAGGTACTCTGTTGAAACTTAGCCGTTTTGGCTTTAAACAAGGGCCAGACACAGATCACTTTTTGACAATAATAAGGAAGGGATGAGAAGACTCTTTTTACAGCTGGCCTGAGATGAAAGAGGGGACACCTTTAGAAGATGTAATATTTCTGAAGTTCTACGAAGCACTTCTTTTTCATTATTTTTACATGTGTGTATCTTAAAGGGATGAGGTTTTTTCAATACTGTGCACTGAGATGGACACAACAGCGATATTTGGGACTTTTTTGCTTACTTCAAACATTCCTAATGAATATAATGCCAGGGGTCAAAGGGGTGGGGTGTCATCTTTGCTCGATTTTGTTATCAGAGGAATAAAAGATGTGGTTGGAAGACTTTTGTTGTGCTGGATGCAGAAAACAGACTTTGCAATTCAATACAAGCTGCTGCTACTTTGGAAAGAACGTGTCGGCTACTTACCTTTCGATGCTGTTGGGTTTAACATCACAGGCTGTGATAACATTTGGATGCAATGGGGGAATCTTTCATTCCTGTATGACAACATAAAGAGGTGAAATGATAACCAAAAACATAACTGTGGGCGAGTCTGATCTGTCTGTATGTTGAAATAATTCTGGAGCCCCTCGACACACATAGGAAAGCCATTGACTGTAGATCTTCTGCTGTACATGTCATCTACTGTCTGTCGCCTGTTTTCAAACTACTATTAACTTCTTTTCCAAATGCTTTAACTGTTTAAAATGATTCAAAATTAATAAAAAACAGCAATATGTATAGCAGTGTTTGTTAATTTAAATGAATAATAATAAAAAAATAATAATTTTCAACCTGAAATTGTCCGATTTCATTCATGGGAACGCACTTACAATCACTCATCACACTATTTCCAAGGAGCTGTAATTAAATACTATTAAAATACAACCACCCTGTTTATTAATCATTCTGATCATTCCAAATTAAGAAAGACTATCTGACACTATTTTGACTTGGTTGGTGGATTTGAAAGACAGTAAGCGAAAGCCTGAGTTAACATCAAGTAGCTAGTACAAAAAAAAAAAAAAAGACAAAGGAAAGAGCTACAAAATAATAGAAATTATTATTATTTTAGAATTAATTCAAGAGCTCAATTGCGTCTGTAAAACCTCTCAGAGCAGTGACACAAAACATGATAATATTGTCAACAATATAAATGTAAAAAAAACTGATATTATTTATGAGTAGTTATACGTTTTGTAAATAAAATCCATCAAGTTATTGTTACAAGCACCAAAAGGTGTAACAGACCGCCTCTTGTGTGTGTATATATTTTAATTATATGAAGAAATATTATCCTATATATCTCCTATACTGGCAAAATCCAAGTCAATACAAATCTGCGCTCCACAGGGGCGTTGTGGCGGGTGTGGGGAATGGAACTGATTACTCAGGGCCTCAGTGGGGGGGCTGAAAAAGCCTAGAATTTTGATTTTATTTGAAATGTCTGAGTAATTAGTGCCATATTTAAATTAAAATTGGCTAAATCAAATTGATTGAGAGACTGAACTTGGTATCAAAAAAACCGCAAAAGGCGCAAACTGGTTTAGTTTGCCCATGCACTATGATTCGTCTTAAACACAGTTAAAGTCAAGGGAGTGACTGCTCATGCAGCTGTGAGAGCATCCCCAAGTATGGGAGATTCCAAAAAGAAAAGAAAGATTAAGAAAGACAATACACTTATAATACACTATAAAAATGCAGCCTGTAATAAAGCATTAATTTGTCAGTGCAGCGCTGATATTAAACCACTAGAGGACAATAGCCTTTAACACACAGCTTACAGTGTGTTAGGTTCATTAGGTTCACCTCCCTCAGTAATGCTCAACTGTGATACATCCCAGTGTTTAGTTTTTTTCTGTTGTAGAGAGGTGTAAACTGTGCCAACTTTATGATCATTCTTAGACGATACAGTTTATGGTGCTGTTGACCTGTACAGAGAGGTGTGCTGCTAAGACAAGTTTGCCTTCAGGGCTTTCTACCAGACAGGCCTGTCTTGGTTAAGTTTAGGAAAAAGATCATGGCTTGGGTTAAAATGAAATGATTTCTGGCAGAAAGCCCTGAGGGCAAACATCATGTGCTGTCTGTTATTTGGTCTGCCCTCATTGATATAATGGTTCATGAGTGCAGGAATTATTGCAGTACTGTTGCGTTAGTACAGTCAGTACTGATAGTTTTAGCCAAGTGCACCAAATAAACTGACAAACTGGGTGTTGAGTATATAATAAAGCCATTTCTGCCCTCTAGTGGTCACAGAGAGTCAATGCAATGGCACTTCACCAGCGTCAAGCCAGAGATAATCACATTGTAGTAAGACTTCCGTTTAAAACTTTCAAAATAAACCTTTCTCCCTACCTAACTACTCCCTTTGGTTTGATTTTGTCTCTTTTCTTTTACAGTTCTCACCTTCACCATCACCTTTAATTGTTTATTTTATATTTTTTGATAATTTGTTCCAAGTTTCATTGTTTTATCATCATGTAATAAAATATTATACTGTAAAGTTTATAGTAGTGATATACAAACTACTTTCTGCCTTTGCTCCCTCTTGAGTTATTATACATACAGTACACTATAAACCATGTGCATCATGCTTTAACACTCATACTAGTAAAGCGAATTTGAACGGAGCTTAAAACAAAACAAACAAATAAACAAACAAGTATGACTGGAAACCTTTTTAAGTATACTGACATGTAATCATGCCTTATTACGACCGAAGGAAGGTCAGTGAACATCCATGATTATACACTCACAAAAAAAAAAACAAAATCATTGAGCATCAAGGCAGAAACAATAGCACACAAACACTTCCGGGGAAGACATTCAAAATAAAAGTCTGAGCCCCTGACAGGAAGTGCTGTTTCTGCACCTCTGTTCTCTGTTTCCATAACGCAAAGTACACTGTATTTTTATTCTTATTCCCATTCTTATAATGAGTTTCAAATCCAGTATTGTGGGTAATAGTATATGTATTTACGATACAAGTATATCAGGCAATCTGAACCCTTCATTAAACAGGAGCTTCTTGTAGATAGTCAGCAGCTCTGACTCTGATTTGTAAAGCATCGTTTCCAGGTGCATCAGTATTCTCTGCAGATGCTAATGGTGTAGGAATTGATTGCTATTTGAAAACAGTCACCTGTTCTCATAATCTACAGTGGTCAGGAATCAACAAACGAAAAGATCAGCAGTGTGAAATCCTTTCCAATCAAATGACATTTTAAATGTCTGTAAGAGCTCAGTCACTGTGAACTTACAGAACGCATCATGCTATGGTAATCACTCCTCAAATAAAATACTGATCATGGTATCATGGAGGTTTTACAGCATGTATGGTAACACATGTTCACCTGAAGTATTAAAGATACTGAAGAATAATAGAAATGAAAATGTATTTTGTTATCTGTCGACTGTTGACCCCACATGTGGATGGTTTCAGATAATACAGCTGATCTATTAGCACTTCCATAATTGGCTTTTCAGAACTAGCTCTCCTGTAGTGGTGGACCTGTCACAACACACGTGAGTAACTTTCAGTCTGAGAGGGGAAAACGGTTAAAGTCATGTCAGGGGATTTTACAACATTAATAATAGTGGACATATTCGATAAAAGACATCAAAAGATGAGAAAGAGGTATTGACCTGTTCCTCAACTACTCATTTAAATGCTGAACATGATGTTGGATGTGATTAGCGCTGACACCTCACAACTTCAGTAGTGAATAAAACCCAAAATCTTGCCCTGTAGCCTTGACCAACTTTATCTTTGCCAGCATAATGTAAATATCCTCTGACATGAAATTTCTTTTGTCTGATTACCATATGAAGATAGTGTATTTTCTCAAATGAAGATAGTGCTATCTTCTCTTGCTTTTCCTTGAGGTGCTGAACACAGCTTCTGAAATATATTGTGACCTGTACCTGCTGTGTGAAAAATGAGCCTGTCCTTCTGTTTCTCCTTCATATCCATCAGCTTGTTTACTTTGCTCCTGTCATGCTGTAATTGGCCCTTTTAAAAGCCTGAACAGTAATGGTTGTAATTCAAGAGAGTGTCAAACAGATATCATACAAGATGCTCTACTGCAGCCAGCCACTGTGGGATGGCTGTCTGTTCAGTCACAGTCTGTGCCTCATCTTTAAAGGAATACTTCAACCCCCCCAAACGACTGTTTGTATATCAGTTACTCACCCTGTGTCATGTTGAATTCATGAAGAAAACTTTGCCTTTTTCACATGCTTTCAATGAACAAAGAATCCAAAAAAATGTTGAAAATTCTTAATGAATTGAAGTCATAGGGGTCCACGTTTAGCAACAGCAGAACATCCGTTTTCAAACTCTCACACAACTCATGCAGTATAATTCAAGTCTCATTTACCTACTCATATGCTCAGTACTTCCTAAACAAAAGGATTTTCACTGAAACTTTAGCGTTTAAAACTGAACTGAATTTAAAATGATCTATGCTCTCTTCAAAGACTCCATTGACAAAATCAGTAATTTTTCCTTGCTGAATACAGAAGCTACTGGTACTGGAGAGTGATATAGTTTTGCTGTTGCTAGACATGGAACCCTGTGACTTTAATGCATGAAGAATTTCCTCAGTTTTTGGATTCTTTGTTCATCATGGAAGCATGCGAGAAACACAAAGTTTTCTTAATGAATTCAGCATAACACAGGGTCATCTTGGGGGTAAAGTATTCCTCTAAGAAATGCCATGAGCCAAGTCAGTAACATCTTTTAAATCACTTCCTAAACCAAACTTGACTCTGATTTATCTGTGCTTCAGTTTTAATTTCACATTGCCCTTTATCTCATTGTTGTTTTTTTATCTTGCCTTTCAATCTTCAATCTTCATGCGGCACAGAAAATCTGATCCCAAACTCTGGCTGCTGTACTCAGTTGCCCACACCCTGCAATAGCGACAGTGTTTAATCATTTGAATATGTCAGAAGAGTGTAATCTGATTGTGCCCTTCAGACATCGATAGCTGAAATCCTAGCACGGGCACTATTCTTGAAATCAGACACTGAGTTTCTGGGATCTGAGTCAAGGGGTTGGCGCGGAGACATCATGTAATTTAAATGCGACAAATGAATTTGCTTGCTTTGCAAAGACAGCTGTGACACCTGAGAGCAATTCATAGACTGTGTTGTTCACTTGTGCACTGTATAAGTTTACCTAGTTTTCATTCATTACGTTGAGGACATATTCTATGACACGCAGCGACTGATGTAACCTGGATGTACATATTTCTCCATTATCTCTCTTTCCTGTCACTGCCACGTGTGCTTGGATTAAATCGATTTCCACCCTCAGATCTGATTACATCCTCACAGTGAATTTAAGACACAGAAGCATATTTGTGACCTTTGATTCTTCTCTGCTCCTTTTCTTTTTCAGCCGATTCAGCCATCAGAATGCAGGCTTTTTTTCCTCCACTGCAAAAGTTGCATTTCAAGAAAACGCCCTTCATTTGAACACAACGTGTTGATTGTGAGTGAATGAGTATTTGCTGAGTAAGCACAGAAGCTGAGAACCCCACAAGGGTAATTAAAAAGAAATTGATTTCAGTCTTGGGAAGCCACTGTGAACGTAGCAAAGCAGTAAAAGGTTAACAACAAGGCTAATAATCATTAGGCATAGACGTATTGAGGCATGTGGCACATATCCTATTGGATAGCCTGTAAACTGCTGTGCAGTCGATATTGTGGTGCTGGTGTAAGAATAGAAGTGTTCAAGATGACGCTGCAAAAAATATTCTTAGATGTGATATTTGACTCATAGAAAACAAAATTCT